CCTGTCAAGTAATTCTTTGAGGGGAGAGATTCCAGTACAAATTGCAAGTTTATCTTTCCTTTCATTCTTGAACCTCTCTTTTAACCAACTGGTGGGGAGGATTCCTACAGGCACCCAAATACAGTCATTTGAAGCATCTTCCTTCGGTGGCAACAGAGGATTATGTGGACCTCCTTTGACTCCAAAATGCACAAAACCCGAGATATTGCGATTTTCCCACTCTGAGAGGTCAATTAATTGGAATTTCATACGTCCTGAAGTTGGATTTGTTTTTGGGATTGGAAGTGTCCTTTTGCCTCTGGCTTTCTCTAAGCCATGGAGGATACGGTACTGGAAACACGTTGATGACTTGCTTTGTAGGGTCTTTCCACAGCTGATTTTTGTGTACGAATGCCGTGGGGGGAAACATTACCGAACTCTACGGTGGCAGCCTCACTAATCCTCATCTGCTACTTCGTTCAATATTTAAATTTGAAATAACGAGCTGATGAGAATAGATGCTGCGCACAATGTGATCATGCGTGCATACATACATAAATACATGTATCAATATGGTTTTATTTCTGCCCCTTTAGTTTCAAACAAGCAGTTTTATGCATGAAAAAGTGTGGAAATTTTGCATCTTTTTATCTCTGCTATGGCAAAATGACCCCTTAAGAGGAATATTCTTGAGATATTGAAAATGGATTCTGCATGTGTAAATGAGTGACATTCCCGAGAAAAACTTCCAGGGTAGACAGGACTCTACATAAGAGCCATATCCATTGACAGAATGATGCATTGGCTTCTCTTTTAGTGGTAGGCACTCTATTATGCTCCGTGGAAGTTACCTATCCTTTCCATTTATATTTTCCACTTGAACAGTGTCATTCAACTTACCGATTACAGGCTATTCAATTAAGTCAACAAGATTAGGAGGATCATTTTTTCCCCAACGTTTCGGAAGAAATTTCAGCATATATGATTATTTTTCCAGCAAAAGAGAAACAGCTCTCGAAAACTCGGTAGTATTAGATTTGGTGTACCTTCTTTGTTGGGAAGATATAAATTACATCACACTGCAAAAAAATACACAAATTTGTAGCTGTTATCTTATAGCAGTTACAAAAAACCCCTACAACTTATATGATTTTTAGCAATTCTAAAGTAAACCGCTGCAAATTTGCAGCATTTTGACAAAGGAGTTTGTGGTGGTTATTGGCAAATAAACCGCTACAAAATTGGCTCCATCTTTACGGTAGGAACTTTGTAGTGGTTATGTCAAAGGAATTGATAAAAATAAGGCATCATGTTTGCAGCGGGTACTTTGTAGCGGTTATGGGAGACAAACTGTCATAGAACTTCAAAAGTCCTGCTAAACCATAATTTTCCTCTAACCATCAGTAACGGTCCCCATGACTGCTGCTATTATTCAAATTTCTTTTTTTTCTGGACAAAATTTCATGCTATAATTAGTAGCAGTTTTATAACCGCTACAAAGATGAAAAAATTTCTCGCCAACTTTTTTGTAGTGGTTTTCTAACCTCTACTAATGTTATTATAGTATACTCAACTTGTTCCGTCGTTGGCAGTAGTGTGTAAGACGACTACAAAAAAACTATAGCAGGTTTAGCCATGCAAGATCCGCTACTAAATTGTTTGTCATAGCAGATTTTGTAATAGTTTTACAAATAATACAAAATAACCACTATAAAATGATACTCCTCTAATTCTAAATATAAGATTTATTTTGTAGTGTAATTTACAAAAATAATTTTTTTCATATGACTTGAAGGAAGTGGTTCCTATCGCCACTCTGATCTTCACTACAGAATCTTATTTGAAAGTCAGAAACCAAAGATTGTCTGCTAACGGCAACCTCACTCCATTTATAGTGTTCGGTCTCTTGTAAGCCAGACTAGAGGCCTCTCTGACTTGTTTTTGTTTTGACTCTATATTTCCTTGTACATATCACCTATTTTTGAATAGAATTTCCCTTTTCATTCGAAAAAATAAAGGGAATTGAATGGATAGTGGCTCAAAGCAGATTCCTCAGCCCCCTTGATTTCCCCAGTGTTCGTGTATTGGCTCTACGGAAAAACATTCCCATGAGGACTACCCAGTTCTCCATGGAGATCAATTAGATGGATCAATACCAAAGTATCTTGCTATTGCACGGCATTAGAGGTGATAGTACTTCGATTCAACAATTGTATTATTAGTTTCACTCATATCATTGACCTTCATCTTTCGCTTCCAAGAAAACACCGTTTACATTTTATTCCTTCACGTAGACCAAATCTTATTAGTTTATTGCAGCACCCTGAGGGACACGCACAAATCGAGCTGCATATATAGTATCCATAAAAGGATGACTAAATTCAGGTTAAAGAACATATTTACCCTAGAACATATTTACCCTTCTTCACTCATCAGCCACACTTGAGTCCCGTTTTCATCCTCAAGTTAATCCCATGAGAACTAACCACTCGTAGATCTTCTTGATGCCAGCCTTCTTCATAAACTTGAGCATTAATATTCATGTAGTCACAAGCCATTTCCTTGGCTAACGAACAAAACTACCGGTGAAGGTGGCTAATAGGAAGAAGAATAAAATGATATCGTTGAGAAAATATAGAGATATGTCAAGTAAAGGATCTCGTGAGATGAGAATTAAGGCTCCTTGAAAGTAGTTTCATGACTCATACATATAAACAACAACTGATTAAAAGAAAACCTGACGGTATTCAACTTTTTTTTTTTTTCATTTGATCATTGTGAAAAGTTGGGATGAATCTAAAAATGTTTTGGAATGGAAAAAATACATAAAACAACATCCTCGTCTTCGTTAAAAAGAACGATTATTGCATTTAAGATTTCATAGACTTAGTAATTAAAATAAAACAAAATCTAAAACTGATTTTTGATGATGATTTAGACAATTTTTGAGGTTAGTATATCAAAAAAATTTCATAGTTGTGTTTGTGGGCAATCACATACATTAGGCTATCACCTCGATTCTTCACAATATTTTTTTTTATTCCTGTAAGTTTAGAATCGCTTCATTATCAGTCTCATTATAATTTATTTTCGTGACATACCAAAAACCTAGATGTTAATGGGTTATTAATTAAATTTTAACACAAACCTATACAATGCCACTATACGCAAAATGAATATCTCTCTTACTATAATCCAATGAAAATTTTATATATGTTCTCTTAAGTCATACGTAGGAGTTCATAAATTAATACTAGCTCCAACCTCTAATATAAAAACTAGTTTGCGGATTGAATTTAATTCTAAATATAAAATCTCAATTTATTTTATTTTTTATATTTATTATTTTTCTCCAAAATATATTTATTTTATAAACGAACGTATAATTTAATGTTATATTGAGATATTTTTAAAAAATCATGTCATATTTATTATAATTAATTAATTTATTTGATTTTTTTAATCTTCTAAGGGTAGATGTCAAAGGAGCAGGCTATAACTTGTGTGACAATTTTTTTAAAGTTTCAAAGATGACAAGTGTTTGTGAACATTTCAAAGATAGGTGTGATGTATATTTTAGCTGTGTTTGAGTTTCAACTCTGCTCATCAAGAGCGGCATGTCGGTCTTCGGTTTTGGCTCGGGTTTTTTCCCATCAGCACTCTTATTTTCCTCTTCTAAGGTGATGCTTTTGACAAGGATCATGGCGAAGTAAATTATAGACTGATTTAATCAGCGCTGAAAAAGTCCAAAACTTTTAATATTCTCTAATAAAAATATAATATCATTTAATTTGAAAAAAATGAGGAACAACACTGCTAATACAGTGCAAAATTGTGAGACTCTTTTCATGTTTTGTTTTCATTAGGCATTTTTATAGTTTAATGATAAATACCTAAAAAGCTATGCTTAATGATTTCAGTTCAAAATAAATGAAGGGAGAATTACAATGAGATTCCAAGAAAAAAAATTACAAAATAAGTTTTAAAAGTTGTTATTTTTTTATTCTAAAACTTGTCATTACAGACTGTTTAAATTATTAATTATTGAGATTTTATAATAATTATTTTTCTTTCTTAAGATCTCATTATAATTCTTTTGAAAAAAATATACCCTGTTCTTGTTCATATAATACAATTGGCTATGTTTGAAAAGAAAATGCCCTGTTTTTGGTCCTTAAATTTCCATTGCAAATAGTGAATGACAAACAATCTCCAGCTACAATGATAGTATAACATCAACAAGCATTTGTCTTAAAAAATATTACGTCTACTCTTTAATATAAGAGTTGGATAACTAATTTATGAATATTAAAAAATTAGTTAAGCTAATTATTTGTAAAAAAATAGGCATTATCTTCTCTAAAATATTTATAATTGAAAATCTTTTAATATGTGTAATCACTGTAGAAACTACTTTGAGAAAAAATGAATAAATATGGGAGATAAAATGAATTGAGTTTTTGTATTTATGACTAAATTATATCTTTAACTAAATCTTATATTTATGACTGGAGGCAGTATTGAACATTTCATAGGTCTTTGCGAAAATTTTCTTCATATAAGAAAGAAAAAATGGGTCAACTAAAACGGCGTGCACTAGCCCATAAACTTAATTCATTCAACAAGTTTCTTTTGTGAAGGGGACAACCGAATGACAAGTGAAAACAATGGTTTATATATCTAGTAATTTCCAATTACAATCAGTGACTGGCTGGAACAGGTGTCACTGACTCCTAACTTTGCTCATGAAGACCGGCACGATTTGTACTGAGAACAAATTCAAAAAATATAAGGGTTTTCAATACCGTGCTTCACTCATGGACTAATCATCTTTGTCATCCAAAGTCAGATCTTCTCGAAAACCCTCTTTACAATTCTACACAAAAATCTTAACTGTTTATTGCAGTATGCCAAGGGACACGTAATAAACTCAGTTGCTTGGAATCTGTAAAAGAATAACTTGATCAGGGAAAAAACCATCTTTTCCTTCCTTAACTCATCAGTTACAAGTGTGAGTCACCATGAATCCCACGAGAACTATCGACTCAATCATTTTCTTGGTATTGTTCTGCTTCATAAGTTTAAGCATCAATGTCTTTGTGGCAAATGGCCATCAACAATCAGCATTGCTTCATTTGAAGAATAGCCTCACTTTCAACCCTGCCAAGTCCCAAAAATTGGTTCATTGGAACCAAAATTACAGTTGTTGTGAATGGAGTGGAGTAACGTGCAACAAGGGACGTGTTATAGCTCTTGACCTGAGCGAAGAATCTATCTCTGGAGGGCTTGATAGCTCAAGCGGTCTCTTCAACCTAACATATATGCAAGATTTGAACCTGGCTTACAATGACTTCCATTCCGTGGTTCCTTCAAAGTTGCACGAGCTAAAGAGCTTGAGATATCTAAATTTGTCAAATGCTGGCTTTGAGGGGCATATTCCAATTGAGATCTCTCGGTTAACAAGGTTGGTTTCTCTTGATCTGTCTACCTCACTTCATACCCTAAAGCTCGAGAGTCCAAATATAACAAATCTTCTGCAGAACCTTACAAAAATCACAACGTTGTATATGGATGGTATGAGGATATTGGCTGAAGGAAAGGAATGGGGCCGTGCTCTATCTTCACTTAAAAATCTTCAAATTTTGAGTTTGTCGTCTTGCAATCTCTCTGGGCCTATTGATTCTTCACTTTCAAAGCTTCAGTCCCTCCTAGTACTAAGACTGAATCAAAACAATTTGGCTTCCTTATTGCCAGAGTCCTTTGCGAGTTTGACAAATTTAACCACCTTGCAACTCAATAGTTGCAACTTGAGTGGAGTGTTTCCCATAAGAATCTTCCAATTGCCAAACTTACAAGTCATTGATGTATCCAATAATCAAGATCTTCATGGTTCTTTACCAGAGTTTTCACATCATGGATCTTTCAACACCTTGAACCTTAGCCATACGAGTTTCTCGGGGAAATTGCCAGATTGTATTCACAAATTGAGGGAGTTATCTACCTTGGATCTATCAAGCTGCCAATTCAATGGAATGCTTCCAAAGTCGATGTCAGAACTCACCCAACTTGTTCATCTAGACTTGTCATTCAACAACTTCACTGGTCCCCTTCCATATTTCAATATGTCCAAGATCCTCAGATTTCTATCTGTTTCAATTAATCACATGACAGGTGAAATTCCATCATCTCATTTTAACAGCCTTGACAATCTCATTAGCATTGATTTAGTTGGAAATTCCTTCTATGGGAGAGTTCCATCATCTCTTTTTTCACTTCCATCTCTACAAGAACTTATGCTTTCTCATAATAGATTTGAGGGTGTATTGGATGAATTTCCCACTAGATCAGTATCCTCATTAGAGTTCCTTGATGCTAATGGAAATAATTTACAAGGGCCTATTCCCTTGTCCATCTTCCGTCTTAGAAGGCTTAGAGTTCTCCAACTTTCCTTAAACAAGTTCAATGGCACCATGCGCTTGGTTACAATAAAGAGGATGGAGAATTTGGAAATATTAGATCTTAGTCACAACAACCTGTTAGTTGATGCAACTTTGAGGGATAATGATGATTTGTCATCATTTCCAAAATTGAGCCAACTTAAATTAGCTTCCTGCAAGTTGAAAGATTTTCCTAGATTTCTGAGGAATCAATCCAATTTACGTGGCCTAGATCTATCCAGCAACCATATTGAAGGAGTAATCCCCAATTGGATTTGGAGGTTTGAATTCATGGATTTCCTAAATCTTTCAAACAATCTTTTGACAGATTTGGAAGGACCATTCCACAATAATAGTTCCAATCTATTTCTCATTGACCTTCATTCCAACCAACTTTTAGGCCCCACTCCCGTTTTATCAGGAAGTGTGATCTATCTGGATTTGTCAAGTAACAGATTCAGCCACATTGCCCCATCTGACATTGGTAATCAGCTTCCTTTTCTATATTTCCTCTCCCTTTCAAATAATAGTCTGCATGGCCAAATTCATGAATCCTTATGTAATATCTCAACTCTTAGAATTCTTGATCTTTCCAATAATGGTTTGAATGGCACTATTCCGGAGTGTTTGACAAGAATAAGTAGCACTTTAAGAGTACTAAATCTTGCAAAGAACAAGTTCAAAGGCCAAATTTCAGATACATTTTCAAATTCTTGTTCTTTGCGGTTCCTTGATCTCAATGAAAATTTTTTTGAAGGTTTTATCCCAAAATCATTGGCCAATTGCCAAAAACTACAAGTCTTGAACCTTGGAAACAACCAATTAACTGATAGGTTTCCTTGCTTCTTAAATAACGTATCCACCCTAAAAGTCATGATTCTAAGGTCAAACAACTTCCATGGCCCTCTTGATTGCCCACATAGCATTGGAAATTGGGAAACACTTCAAATTGTTGATCTTGCCTCCAATAATTTTCGTGGTAAATTACCAGGGTCATTCCTGCAAAGTTTGAAAGCTTTGATGCTTGAGGATGAATCAAGTTCAAAATTTGGCCATTTGGTTTTTGAAATCTTTGATAATGTCAGTCCCATGGACATCAGAAGTGCGTGGACCCCCATAGCAAACAAAGACCTTGCACTAAAACTGGCTAAACTTATAAATATAGGAATGCCACCTAATGTGATCAACCACTTATTCTATGATGCTTATGTCGAGCTTCTTGAGATCAGAAGTTACCAAGATTCAGTAACAATTGTTAACAAAGGGAGACAGGTGAAGTTGGTTAAGATTCTTATTGCTTTCACTTCCTTGGATTTCTCATCTAACCATTTTGAAGGGTCAATTCCAAAAGAACTTATGGATTTCAAGGCACTCCATGCTCTTAACTTGTCAGAAAATGCTTTTTCAAGCCATATCCCTTCATCTGTAGGGGATTTGAACAATCTTGAGTCATTGGACTTATCAATGAACTCTTTCAAGGGGAAGATTCCAACAGAGCTCGCGAGTCTATTGTTTCTTGCAGTTCTAAACCTTTCCTTCAATCATTTGATAGGGCCCATCCCAACTGGCACTCAAATACAGTCATTTGGCGCAGATTCATTTGAAGGCAATGAAGGACTATGTGGACCTCCGTTGACACAGACTTGTAGTTTTGGCGTAGCTCCTGGATTGTCTTCGCCATCATCTGAAACTTCTGAATCTATTAGTTCTAAAAGTTCCATTGATTAGAATTTTTTGAGTGTTGAATTGGAGGCAACAATACATCAATTATGTGGACTATATTCTCTGGAAGATCTTCCCTCAACTTGATTTTGTATATGAACTCCGAGGAGGAAAAAATTATGGAAGTTTGAGGTGGAAGCCTTGCTGATTTTATTGAGAGTAAAAGCAAAAACAGCATGTGATTTCTGCTCTTTTTAGTTTTGTAGAGATATGATATGATTTGATATGTAAATATTATGTAATTACGATTAGGATTTGATAGGATATGATATTATCATAATGAGCCATTAATGCAGAGGCTCCTCTCACTTGTATATATATGTGTATATTCTGATCAATGAAATATAAGATAATTATTCTCCATATTATTCTATTCCCTACATAGTATCAGAGCGTGGGAATTTTCTTTCTGGGTGTTAATTTTCGGTTGCTACAGTACCAAAATTACTGTGTGAGCTCGTGACCCTCTTCCCGACGCTTCCTTTGGTGCCACCACCCTGCACTGTTCACTCGGCGTCCGTACAGTCCGTACGCTCTGCACTGTTCATCGACTTTTCCGGCGCTCTGCACTGTTCACTCGGCGTCCATACAGTCCGTACGCTCTGCACTGTTCATCGACTTTTCCGGTGCTCTGCACTGTTCGCTCGGCGTCCGTACAGTGTCCGTACGGTTATTACTTTCTGGCGTTCTGTTTCGTTTCTGGCGCATCTCCGGCACGCTGTTTGTGCAATTCAGTTCTGTTTGCAGCTCCCTGTGTAGCTGTTGGCCTTTTCACTGCTTTGGTATTCATTAGGTAATCCAGGTATCGTGCTTTGTGTTCCTGTGTAACACTCTTTCGCATTCCCTTTAGTTAGTGCACTTCATCTATGGCGGAAATTAAATCTGTCTCGGAGCTTGTCCCAACTATTACTAAAATTACTGATCACAAGTTGACTTGGGTAAATTATTTGGATTGGAGTAAAACCATTCACCTCTATCTGCGGAGCATTGAGAAGGAAGACCATCTGACTGATGATCCTCCAACAACTGATTCCAAAAAGACCTGGTTGCGGGATGATGCACGGCTATTTTTCCAGATCCGTAATTCCATTGACAGTGAGATTATTCCCTCTATTAATCACTGTGAATTGGTTAAGGAACTAATGGATTATTTAGATTTTTTGTATTCAGGAAAAGGAAATATCTCTCGTGTTTACGAGGTCTGCAAAGCTTTCTATCGTTCTGAAAAACAGGATCGTCCTCTCAAAGCCTACTTTATGGACTTTAAAAGGATGTATGAAGAACTGAATGTGTTAATGCCTCTTACTGCTGATTTGAAGGTTCAGCATAAGCAACGGGAGCAAATGGCTATTATGAGCTTTCTTACTGGTCTCCCACCTGAGTACGACACAGTTCGGTCTCAAATCTTATCCGGATCTGAAATTTCTGACCTTCAAGATGTGTTTTCCAGAGTAATGAGAGCTGAGAATCTCTTGCCACCAGCTGCTAGTATTCCTACAAGTGCCTTGCTCAGTAAGGGCACCTATGAGACTCGTAGTCCCATTGATAACCGCGGGGGGCCTACCCGTGGTGGTTCGAAGCAAGGGGGAGCCCCTTCTGACTCCAGTGGGGTAGTGTGTTATTACTGCAAAGAACCGGGGCATACAAAACGCACATGTCGAAAACTTCAGAATAAACAGCAACGGAATAACTCTGCCCACGTGGCTACACAAGCCAGTGACACAGTCACGATTTCTGCTGCTGAGTATGCCCAGTTAAAATCTACTACACCGTCTGTGAGTGCCGCAGCTACAACAAGTAATAATGCTACTGCCCTTGCTTCTTCTTCCTCAAAGTGGATCATAGATTCCGGGGCTACTGATCATATGACAGGTAACAGCCATCTCTTCTCCTCTTATAATGCTTTTGCCAATCCGTCAAGTGTTTCCATCGCTGATGGTTCCCAGTCTCAAGTTCTCGGTTTTGGCACTGTTAATCCCACACCCTCTATTCGTTTGTCATCTGTTCTAAATGTTCCTAAACTTGCTTTTAATCTCCTATCTCCCAGTAAACTCACCCGTCAACTAAACTGTTGGGTCTCACTTTTTCCTTCTCATTGCTTGATACAGGATCTTTTGACGAGGCGGATTATTGGTAGAGGTTATGAATCTGGCGGGCACTATATACTGGATGATCGGGTGTCTCATGCGGTAGCTTGCGCTAGCAGTCATTCTCCCTTTGAAGTTCATTGTTGATTGGGTCATTTGTCTCTATCTTCTCTTAAGAAAGTTTATCCTCAATTTCAGCATTTGTCGTCTTTAGATTGTGAGTCATGTCAGTTTGCCAAGCATCATCGTCTTCCTTTAGTGTCTCGTGTCAATAAACGGGTTTCATCCCCTTTTGAGTTAGTCCATTCTGATGTTTGGGGTCCTTATCCTGTAGAGTCCAAAGCAGGGTTTAAATACTTTGTTACATTTGTTGATGATTATTCCCGGACAACTTGGTTATATTTAATGAAACATCGTTCTGAATTGTTTTCCCATTTTTGTGCTGAGATTAAAACTCAATTTAATGTTTCTATTCGCACCTTACGAAGTGATAATGCTAAAGAATATCTCTCTGCTTCGTTCCAATCTTACATGCTTCAAAATGGTATACTTCATCAGTCGTCTTGTGTCGATACACCAGCTCAAAATGGTGTTGCAGAAAGAAAAAATCGCCACCTACTTGAGGTGGCCCGTGCACTTTTGTTTCAAATGCAGGTTCCTAAACCATTTTGGGCTGACGCAGTCTCCACTGCCTGCTTCCTTATTAATCGAATGCCTTCCTCTGTTCTTGATGGTAACTCTCCTTTTTCTACCCTCTTTCCTTCTAAGCCTTTGTTCCCTATTGCTCCTAAGATATTTGGGTGTGTCTGTTTTGTGCGGGATGTACGTCCATCTATTTCAAAGTTAGACCCCAAATCGCTTAAATGTGTCTTCCTTGGATACTCTCGGGTCCAAAAAGGTTATCGTCGTTTCTCACCTACTCTCAATCGTTATTTAGTATCTGCAGATGTCACCTTTCAGGAGTCCACACCATATTTCTCGCATTCTTCCCCACCTGCTCCACCTGCGGAGGAGGATGACCTTCTAATATACTCTGTCACCTCACCATCACTGTCGTCGCAAGCACCCGCTCCCGCACTCGTTCAACCATTTGATCGTGTGTATACACGACGGTCAAAGGAGATTACTACCGCCACGCCAGCTTCTATTCCTCCCTGGTCCGCCTCGCCCTCAGATCCTGAGTTGAGCAACACTGAACCTCGTTCTGACCCTAATCCTGAGACACCTCCTGTTCCAGACCCGGATGCCTCTCTTGATCTACCCATTGCCCTTCGCAAAGGTAAACGTACTTGTGCCCATCCTATTTCGTTCTTTGTTTCATATGACCGCTTGTCTCCTGTGTCCAGTTCCTTTGTTGCCTCCCTAGATACTATCTCTGTGCCCAGAACTATTCGTGAAGCCTTGGCCCACTCAGGTTGGCGTGCTGCAATGGAAGAGGAGATGGCGGCCCTTGATCGGGCTGGTACATGGACCCTGGTCGATTTACCGGCGGGTAAAAAGGCCATTGGATGTAAATGGGTGTTCACTCCGAAAACTAAGGCTGACGGCACACTTGACCGCCTTAAGGCTCGCCTTGTGGCTAAAGGTTATGCACAAACCTATGGCATTGACTATTCCGAAACCTTTTCTCCTGTTGCTAAGCTCTCATCTGTTCGTCTGTTCATCTCTCTGGCTGCTACTTATGATTGGGATCTACATCAATTAGACATTAAAAATGCATTCTTACATGGTGATCTTCATGAAGAGGTCTATATGGAGCAACCACCTGGGTTCGTTGCTCAGGGGGAGCATGGGAAAGTATGTCGCCTTAAGAGGTCCTTGTATGGTTTGAAGCAAAGCCCTCGTGCATGGTTTGACCGGTTCAGTACTGTCGTACAGAAATTTGGCATGAGCCAAAGCAAGTGCGATCATTCTGTATTTTATCAAAGAACAGCGGCTGGCATGATTCTCTTGGTGGTATATGTAGATGACATTGTGATCACAGGCAGTAATGGTTCGGGCATCTCGTCCCTCAAGTCCTTTCTTAATTCCCACTTTCAGACGAAGGATCTGGGCTCTCTGACATACTTTCTAGGTATTGAAGTTATGAGAAGCAAGAAGGGCATATTACTGACACAGCGCAAATATGTTCTTGACCTCTTGAAGGAAACTGGAAAGTTGGGAGTAGCACTGACTAAGTTTCCTATGGTTCACAACCCACTCCTTGACGCTGATGGGAGCATACCACTCGATGATTCTCTTGATGATGAGAAACGGATGCTTGAGGCTCAGAAGAGCAAACCATTTGAGAATCCTGAGAGGTACAGGAGAATGATTGGCAAGTTAAACTATCTCACTGTAACTCGTCCGGATATTACTTATCCAGTCAGTGTACTAAGCCAGTTCATGGCATCCCCAACTGTCAGACAGTGGGAAGCCTTGGAGCACGTGTTACATTATTTGAAGGGATGTCCAGGTCGTGGGATATTATACAAAAATCATGGCCATACAGACATTGAGTGCTTCTGTGATGCGGATCATGGTGGATCAAAGGCCACGAGACGGTCTACTACAGGATATGTGTCTTTGTGGGCGGGAATCTGGTGTCCTGGAAAAGCAAGAAACAAAATGTGGTGTCCAGATCGAGCGCAGAGGCAGAATACCGAGCTATGGCACAGTCTGTATGTGAGATAATCTGGATATATCAGCTATTAAAGGAAGTTGGCCTCAAAACCACTTTGCCAGCAAAGTTGTGGTGTGACAATAAGGCTGCCCTACATATAGCCTCCAATTCTGTGTTCCATGAACGTACCAAACATATTGAGATTGATTGTCATTTTATCAGAGACAAGCTTAAGGAGAACTTCATCTCCACTGGATATGTGCGTTCTAGTGATCAATTAGGCGACCTTCTAACTAAAGCTCTAAATGGGACTCGTGTTGACTATCTGTGTGACAAGTTGGGCATGCTTAACATTTATGCTCCAACTTGAGGGGGAGTGTAGAGATATGATATGATTTGATATGTAAATATTATGTAATTACGATTAGGATTTGATAGGATATGATATTATCATAATGAGCCATTAATGCAGAGGCTCCTCTCACTTGTATATATGTGTGTATATTCTGATCAATGAAATATAAGAGAATTATTCTCCATATTATTCTATTCCCTACAAGTTTCTTTAACTTCATCTTTCTTTGTGTTTGATATGTAAAATATCAGAATATTGCTAGCATCTTAGACCTTGGCTACAAGTCACACTTCAAAAATAAGAATGAAAAGCTCTTGCTGTTCATCAATAACCTTCTTCTTCCTCTGAAGTTAGATATTCTATGCTAAGTGTAAGCCATATTTAATTTCAATTGATATTCGGTTTGGCTTTTCAATTTGATGGGGGAGAAAAGGCTAATGAGAGTATCAAATTATACAGTAGCGATAAAATTGTAGCTTTTGTGATTTAATCAGATTGGTTTCTTTCTGTTTTTCGCCATGAATTAGATTGGTTTCACCGTTTCAGTTGATATTCTATCTTTTGAAATATTGTTTCAATTGAGATTAATTCGGTTTAACACACACGCACATATCTCATCCCATTCTTATCACTTAAACTAGTTTTATGTGACTTCATAATTCAATGGCTACTATTTTTTTCCAACAAAGATATATATATATATATATATATATATCCCAATCAAGCAAATTATGGGAAAGATTAAGGTAAGTGAGAACAACAAAAGAACTGAATAACACAAAACCAAAGCAGCTGTAGCAAAAACAAAGAAGTAAAAAATCAACCAACTATATTTATATAGCGAAAACTTTAAAAGAGAAATTAATGTTCAGGAGTAAATTAGCGATTTTTCAATTTTGTGAGACCTATATATATAGTCAACTTATCTTTTAATACCTTTCCGCTTAAACTAATACTTTTACATGGCTCATTAATGGCTTCACATTCAAGACACCGTGCACAAGAAACTTTCGGCTCAATGGCCCAAAAAAAAAAAATTGCTGGAGATATTGCTTTAAAAAAAAAAAAGAAAAAGAAAGTGGGTTCTTACCAATTTTAAGAAAGCTAAATTTTAAGATTTTTCAGTTATCCTTCAATCCTTCAATGAATGGATGCATTGTATTATGGAGGAAAAGGACATTGTCATGTGAAAATGGAAAAAAACAAGTTCCTGTAGTATGATAATGTGCCTGTTTAGGGTGACTTATGAGTAATTTTTTAATCGTAATTTATAGAATATAAAATAAATATATTAGAAAAGTTTTGTTTCACTTCCATAAAACATGTTTTTAAATAATTTTAAACACGGTGAGGAACGGAGCCAATAAAAAGCATTTTCATTTTGCATTGATGCAAAAAACACTACCCAATGTCATCATAAAAAGCCAAAAAAAAAAAAAAACTGCCTGAAAAGATCTTCTATTGCATCCACACTTTCAATTATATTATGCAGATGGCTTCAATTTAGTTTAACACAAGTTGAAAACAACAAATATGAGATAGCTCAGTGATAAGTGTGAAATAGTTCATGTCATTCCATTTTTTTTTATTTAAAAATTACTTATTTTTGCTGTTTTCTTTACACTTTTAAAGTTTTTTTAATGTGAACATTATGTTTACGTTTCATTTAAATTATATTTAGAAAGTATTTTTTATCTCTTCAAAAATAAAAAATTTTATAATTAGTTTTTATAATTGTTGAAAGTAAATTACATAATTTTTATGAATATATTTTGTCCATGATTAAAAATTTTTATTCTGGTTGGAGAAGCTTCTAGTAGCGGAAACACCTCCTAGTTAGCTTTTAAAATAAAATTTATTTTGAAATTTGGATTCATGATGAGAACATCGGAAGATTGAGGATTCATTTTGGGAGTATCTGAGGATGAAAAAGGGGCAACCGAGATTTGTGTGTGTTTTTATTTAGTAAGTTATTTGTCAGAGTCAGAATGTCAGCCACTTCATGGAAAGCGAACCCTAACGGGACATCATCTTAATTTATGGGGGCTTTTCCTCTTCCAGCCTTAACTGTCCTCGTTCCCCGACGAGGCCCACCACAACGACATATCCCGTTTTCACTTTTCCCTGCATATTAAATTTTAATTATTCCTTCCATTTTTAATATAAAATTTAATTATTAAATTTTATTAGTTTTAAATATAAGACATATTTATCATATTTATTAATTTCTTTAATTATTTTTTGTTAATTCTTGCTCAATAATAATTAAGTAAAAAAGAATAATATTAAAAAAATGATTATGATGTTTTTAATTTACCTAACTTTTTTTAATCTAATTAAATTAATTTAATAAGTTTTTGGAGGAGTTTTAAATAAAAGGAACTTTTTCTTATACTCTCCTGATCCTGAATTTATGGTGTAAGTTACAATACAAAATAGGTTTTAATTTTAAAACCAGAGGAACAGTATTAATTACAAATAACTATTTTTTAATTTTTCTTCTTTTACAAAACTTGGTTAAGTTTTTTCTGCCAACACAAAACCTGGTTAAATAAAGTTTATATTCAAGATCGGACGGTGAACTGCATGAGTTGGGCAATTTTTTTTTTTTTAACAAGAAGAAAAATTAATGAACGTTCTAAATCGGTGAAGTGATCTCACTTGATATCTTTTGCCAGTTTTTTTTTTTTTGAGCAAAGATATCTTTTGCCTGTTTGACTAAGCAAGTTCAGTTTAATATTAGGATATGATATGATTATAAAATTGCTTTGATGTTAAAGGGGTCATGCCAGATTTATTGATGCCAACCTTTCGACCTATGGAATTGAATAATCTAAAAACTTTTGCGAGTGTCCCATATCAGAAGCCATCCAAAAGTCTTCAGAAAATGACAACTGACAAGGCCGACATTGAAAGTTTGAAACGCGCAAACGGCAATAATTTGCAACCAACAGGACCTTCTCTTTATTGGGTTTTTCATTTTTCTTCCATCCAACAAGCAATCCAACGGAGCGATGAACATGGTTTTGCTCTGACCACGCTTCACGTCAGCCTCTCCCGTGTTTGACCATTCCATTCTCTTCCCAAATTCCTCTCTCTCTCTCTCTCTGTGCGTTTCCGGTTTCCTTGCCAACATTTGATCCACCTTCATCCTGCGTTGTCAGTCAAACAATGAAGCTCGGGGCAGAGAGGTGTTTTTCATGGGTCTGAAATCCCATGAGCTCACTGTTTGTTTCAACCTTCAAACTTTGGTTTTACGTTGTATGGGTGGCCACCATTGCAGAATCCAATGAGAATTCGTTCAGTTTCATGGCGTTCCTTCATAGCCTGCTGCTTTTGGATGTTTTTCTGTTTCAACATTTATGTGGTATCAAGCAGATGTCTTGAAGACCAGAAATCATTCCTCCTCCGATTGAAGAACAGTCTCGATTTTAACGAATCAAGTCCCATCAAACTGGCGTCTTGGGATCAAAACTCGTCTTGCTGTGATTGGAGGGGTGTCACTTGCGATGAGCAAGGACATGTTATTGGTCTTGATTTGAGTGAGGAGTCAATCTCTGGTGGTTTTGACAGTTCAAGCGGTATTTTCAGTCTCCAGTATCTACAGAATTTGAGTTTGGCTTCCAACAATTTCAGTTCTGTGATTCCGAGTGAGTTCTACAAATTGAAGAACTTAACTCACCTGAATCTGTCATATGCTGGTTTCATGGGGCCGATCCCAGATGGAATCTCTCAACTGACGAGGTTAGTTACTCTGGATATATCGTCTCTTTCATATTTAACAGGGCAAGAGCTGAAACTTGAGAATCCAAATTTGGGAACGCTTATTCAGAACCTTACCAGCATTAGGCGGTTGTATCTAGATGGTGTAACTATATCAGCTCAGGGACAAGAATGGGGCACCGCTCTCTCATCACTCCCCGGTCTGCAAGAATTGAGCATGGTGCAATGCAATCTTTCAGGTCCTATTGATTCTTCCCTATCTAGACTGAACCTCCTCTCGGTAATTCGTCTTGACCAGAACAATTTGTCAGCCACAGTACCAGAATTCTTTGGTAATTTTACAAATCTGACCAGATTGCATCTTAGCTCTTGCGGGTTGAGTGGAATTTTCCCACAGAATATCTTTCTGGTGAAGACATTGACCTTCATTGACATATCTTATAATACTGGTCTCAGTGGGTCATTCCAGAATTTCCCATTGAATGGATCTCTCCAAACCCTCGTAGTGAGTGGTACAAATTTTTCCGGAGGGCTACCAGATTCAATCAGTAACTTGAAAAACTTATCCAAATTAGATCTTTCAATTTCTCACTTTTCAGGACGACTTCCCAATTCAATCTCAAAGCTTGCTGAACTCGCTTATCTGGACTTGTCAATGAACAACTTCAGCGGTCCGATTCCATCGTTTAGTACGGCCAAGAAACTCACGTACATGGACCTTTCTGATAATGTGTTAAGTGGCAAAATTTCGTCACCTGATCGATTTAAGGGACTACAAAATCTAGTCACCATTAACCTGCGTAGTAATTACATCAGTGGCACCATCCCTTCCTCTCTTTTTATGCTTTCATCCCTGCAGAGCATTAAGCTTTCCGACAATCGGTTCAGTCAACTGCATGAGTTCTCAATTGTGCCTTCCTCCGTATTAAACACCCTCGATTTGAGCAGCAATAATTTATCAGGTCCTATTCCAAGATCTATCTTCCAACTCAGAGGACTTGGTATTCTCCAACTTTCGTCAAACAAGTTCAATGGGCTAATCCTGCTAGATATGATTGTGGAGCTCAGAAATTTAACTTCGTTAGATCTTTCATACAACAACTTGTCAATCAAGGTGAATAAATCAGATTCTCGCCTGTCTTCAGTTCTCAACATGACCACTCTAAAATTGGCTGGTTGCAAGTTGGAGACTTTCCCTGGTTTCTTAAGACACCAGCCCAAATTAACTGATTTGGATTTTTCAGATAATCAAATCCCAGGTCTGATACCCAGCTGGCTTTGGAAACTTGAAAGTCTCACTTACCTTAATCTTTCCCATAATTTGCTGACTGGTTTTGAAAGACCGTTGCAGAATTTAAGTTCTAGTTTGACGCTCCTTGACCTTCATGACAACCATATCCGAGGGCAAATTCCCTTTTTACCTAGGCGTTCTGCCTATTTGGACTACTCAATCAATAAGTTCAGCTCTTTCGACATCCCAGCTTATCCAAGTGATTACACGGCTTTCACAATTTTCCTATCTCTATCAAATAATTCTTTTCGAGGCACCATTCCTCAATTCTTCTGCAATTTTTCAAGTCTTCAAGTGCTTGATCTTTCCCTCAATAACTTCTCTGGTGCAATTCCTTCATGTTTAATGGAAATGAGTGAGACCCTTGCCATACTAACTCTGCGGAAAAACAATCTCGCGGGGAAAATACCTGACAAGTTTCCAGCTTGGTGTACTCTGAGGACTCTAGATCTCCATGAAAATTCGTTAGATGGACCGATGCCAAATTCTCTTGCTAATTGCTCAGGATTAGAAGTGTTGGACCTGGGAAGGAATCATATGTTTGATGCATTTCCATGTTTCTTGAAGAACATATCCACACTCCGTGTCCTGGTCTTGCGACAAAATAATTTCCATGGTTCCATTGGATGCCCGAACACCAATGATAGCTGGCATGTGCTTCAAATTGCTGATTTAGCTTCCAACAATTTTAGGGGTGTGCTACCAGGAAAATCATTCACAGCATGGGAAGGAATGATGCCCGATGAAGCACAAACACTTCAATATCAGATCTTGAAATTTGGTAATGTTTATTATCAGGACAGAGTGAGTATTACGAGCAAAGGCATACAGAGGAAGTGGGTTAAAATTCTAACCGTCTTCACTGCCATTGACTTCTCATCCAACCATCTTGAAGGACCAATACCAGAGGAGATGATGAATTTTAAAGCACTGTATATTCTGAACTTGTCCAATAATGCTTTCAGCGGCCAGATACCATCATCTATTGGGAATTTGAGAAAGCTCGAGTCCTTGGACCTGTCAAATAATTCTTTGACGGGGGAGATTCCAGTACAAATTGCAAGTTTATCTTTCCTTGCATTCTTGAACCTCTCTTTTAACCAACTGGTGGGGAGGATTCCTACAGGCACCCAAATACAGTCATTTGAAGCACCTTCCTTCGGTGGCAACAAAGGATTATGTGGACCGCCTTTGACTCCAAAATGTACAAATCCAGGAGTGATAAATACTAGTGATGCAGTAGCTGAATTTGATTGGGATTTTGTATTCACTGGAGTGGGTTTTGGGGTGGGAGCAGGAATAGTTGTTGCTCCGTTGATGCTTTGGGAAAAAGGAAGAAAATGGAGCAATAACAGCATTCATAGGATCCTTCGAGTAATATTTCCCATGTTTGGGTTGACTTATACGCCTGGTGATGATTACTACGATGACGAGGAGGAAGAAGCAGAAGAAGAGAGCTCAGATGAGATTGAAGAATGTGATGACTATGAATATGAAGATGAATTGGGTATCCCAAGGTTTAGAGGATGGTACTGTGTTTTTTGTTCCAGGCTCGACATAAGTAGGAAGAAGGCCATTCATAACCCAAGGTGTCAATGCTACCATACACCACCAGTTTCAACGTTTTCTGTTTCTTGGGCTTCTCCTTCCTCTCAGGTGCATCTGAGATGAGAGGGGGGGGGGGAAGAGAATTCCCCTTTATTCAATTGTGATCCTTTTTTTTTCTGATTATATATGTTACAGACATGCACATGATGTACATACACAAACACAACCCGAATAGCAATAATCCATCTCTGACTACTCAGTGACCAGCAGATAAATGGATTGATGCCATCTGGAGAAACTGTGGGTTTCAATGCCTTTTTCTAGTCTGCTCTTTTTCTATCTGTAGACTGTACACGGACAGGTAAATGTAAATGTATATCTTGTACGTACACAAAGAAAGTCATCCAAAAATTGACAACCAAAAATGAGTTACAGCAATACACCCCTACTGATTTCTGAAGGTGGTACTTTTAATGCTCGTTAATCAGCAAGTTTATTAGACGATGACAATGCTCATTCAGAACTTCCATCGAACACTTCAAGAGCCCTCGTCATCTCAACGACTCGGCAAATATATGCAACGCATTTATCATATGCATAATTCAAGTGTGCAGCATCAACAATTGCAGAAGGGCGAATGTATGGAGAAAAAAATGCCTTTGAATAGCAATAAACGGACTCTAACTTCGACATCCTAATCATGTGTTCAGATTAAAAAAAGAAAAAGAAAATTCACAAAGATAACAAGGCCCAGAAGAACAAAGGGAAGATAACGCCTTGCACAGTAACGTTTTATTTAATTTTTCTCAAAATATGGTGTATCTTTTTACTTAACCGTCGAACACAAACATATCCCCACAACCTGTGAATTTCCTCAATGAAAAAAGTTTTGTGCCCTCGGTGATCAATGATCAATGGCCAAAAAAGTATGATTTATCGAACAGCAAACTGAGGGGTAAACTCTCATGTTATTAAACATATTGTGCTACTGTATATCGTAGATAGGATCCATCTACTGGTAAACAAATTGGGGAAAATTACTTTAAAGTTCTATGAGGAATCTAATAAATAAATCTCATTAAATGTACAAATACTTCTCAACTCTCAAGTTTCTTATGTGTAGATACGTTTTTATCGCCAGTCCCGGAAGCTCCGGTTAGCTACCGCCACGGAGTCCAACCGGCAGATTGGGGTGGTCTTGATGACGAGACTAAAATCCAAGACCACTTGTTTTCCAAAATAATTATCAACAACTGGCTGCTCAAACACCTTAATTAATACTCCTCCGGTCCTTAATATAAGACCCATTTAACTAATTTGATTAGATTAAAGAAGTTAGGTAAGTTAGTTAATTATAAGAAAGTGACACATTTTTCCTAAAACACCATAATCATCTTTCTTAATACCTCATCTCCCTCTTCTACTTGATTATGATTGAGGGAATATCCATAAGGGTAATTTAGAGAAAATTGATAAATATGATAAATGAGTCTTATATTTAGGATCAAAATCAACTCAAAAATTGGGTCCTATATTAAGGACCGGAGGAGTACTATCTTCTGTCCTTAATATAAGATATTGTTTGACTTTTATTTTAGTCTCAAATATAATACCACAATCTACTTTGTCTCTTATATTTATCTATTTTTTTCTAAGGTAATCCTTCTAATAATGATAGTTTTAACCAATAACTTGATTAGCAAGGATATTTCAGTAAAAATAACACTTATTTATTACAAATAATTAACTTAACTTATTTTCTTAATCCACTCAAATTAGTCAACTGACTTTTATATTTAAAACTGGAGGACCGAGGTAGTGCTATACATAAGTAATATAAGTAATAGCCGTTATTCAGAATAAAAATAATAACTTGCGCATGTATAAATAAAAATTTAGTTATATGTAAATAACCAGTTTTAGCAAATAACGACTAAATTTTTTGGCAAATGAGAAGGTGGGTTTATGAAGATAACAATTCAGTTATTTGTAAATAAAAACTAGAGTTTATAAAGATACCAACTTAATGTAAATGACAATCAAATTCGAGGTAAGTAAATAACAATCTGAGTAATTGAGTGTGAAAAGTTATTTAAACACGAGGAATTAAAGACTTCACCATTGTTTACACATTTCTTAAGACTTTATATTCCATTCTTAGACCAACAAAAGGTTTACTTTAATCAAAACAATAATAATTTGGATCTGAATTTTGTTCAGAAATACAGGACGAGAAATGTCACACAGTTTTTTCATTTATTATTATTTCAAGACGAAATTTTCTGAAGATGACTATAAACATAATTGGGATTTACTCATAAAGCCAAGGTATCAATATATACTAAAACAAATTTATAATAAATCACATTATTTATGTAATCCTTCATTTCTTTTATATATTTTTATAATATAAGATTGTTTTGGGATTTACTCATAAAGCCCAGGTACCTTCGACTTTGAACAATACTCGAAGGTTCCAATTTGATGTTTCATGGATATGATCTTTTGTAAGAAAATTAATTTTAGAGGATTCATCCTTACAGAATAATTTCATCAAAATATTTCAATTAAAAAAACAACCAAAAGACCGATAATGACCATAATGCCAGGATTCATGCAAAAAGAGGATAGTGACATTTCCTTCACTGCAACTACAACACTGCATCACCACCGCACACACCGAAGACGACATTTTAACTATTTTTTACACACAGATTTTGCAATAACATCACTACCTAGCGGCATATACTAAGTAGATGTAGTAAACTTGTATATAGGACAAATATAGAGTAAAGACTAAGCCGGCCAATAGTTCATATTGGCGTCCAGTATTGTTGCAGTAACTTCGTTTTCGAAGCAGCAATACTGTTCTTCCAGTGGTATCTGCGTCAAATTCTGCACAGAACCCACTGAAGAAGAAGAAGGTGGGTTTAGTTGAAGAGAAGGGAACTGTTCATGGTTGGGAAATGAAAGGTAGTCATCGTCGACAGAGTTAATCATGGTTTGGTGGAGCCATATCTGAGTTTTCAGAAACTTCACGTAATGAATCGCTTCCTCTAACATCGACACTGTGTCCATCTTGCTCCCACCAGGAACCATGCTCTGCAAGATCTTGAACCGATCGCTGATCCGGTGCCTTCGTTCTCGAGCTGCCACGCTCTGTGGATCGGTGGAAAGCTTCACACCTCCCTTGCTTTTCTTCCCGCTCTTTTTCTTCGCCTTCGAGGATGACGCTGTTGATGAGGTGAGGTTGCTGGGGGGAGGAATGCTGTACTCCATGCGCTTGACAAATTGTCCGCCGGAGGAAATTGGAAGAGAACTCAGCTTCGAACTTGTTAGGAAATTGTGGTTGGAAGTGAGGCTTATATAGGGAGAAGAATGTGATGTTGGAACATTGATTTGAATGAATGAAAGAGATGTCATCTTGTGAATCAGCCAATCTTTGGCGCAGGATACGGGTGTTTTTGGGTAGGGACCCGAAGTTTGGGTCCCAACTGAAAAATAAATAATCTCTGTTCGTTTTTCCTCTCTTTTTATTTTTAATCCAATCTTAATACTTTTTTGTTTTATTGAGTGACTGAGAGAATTTTGGGTTGCATGCAGATTTAGTTGGTCTCAAGTCAGTAAATTTTAAGGATAACACATCAATAGTTCCATGAGTATTTAAAGGTTGCATATCAATCTTTATACAAGTGACATTGCTTATTTTGAATAACTAGGATAACGAAACGAGATGGGGCATTACAACGCCTATATATCCACTGTTCTCTTTTTGTGTTGGATTTTTCCAGTTTCGAGCTTCTCTTATTATCTGACTTTAGTCAAGTGTTAGTACATTTTCTTTCCACCTCACTCGCAGCACGACATTATGACCCACCAGGAAGAAGTGCACTAATAGTGGCAGCTTGATCAGTTTGCCAGTAACAGTGAGAGCTGGGGGAGAGATCATCAGGCCCTTCGTCTGTCTTGGGGTTCCAAAGGTCAGAGCCTCAGTCAGAGGTGTAATCAAGAGAAAAAGAAAGCTATTGTGGGGGTCCTTCCCTGAAATCGAAGCAAATAATGAAGTAAATATATTACTGTCAGGTATGTCTAAATCCAAGGACAGGATAGACCATTAGTTGGCTGCCTTTATTATGTACGGTTTTTTTTCTTTTGTTTCCATCCTCCTTTCACACTGATTCATATTTTACAATTGGGTGCTGCTCTTTTTAAGGAGTAAAGAAAAGAGCTTATGGTGGAACCAACCAATGCGCTCTTCTTTTCAAGAAAATAAAATTCAACTCAAAGTTTGCTTGAAACACCAGTGTATTAAAGCCTCATTTTCAAATCCTCACTCATCCCAAAGAAACCAAAGTTTTGTTTTTTCTGGTCTTTGTTGGGGTATATTCCCCAAAAAGCAATGTATTTTAAGTTATGCATTTCAGTGCTTTAGACCCTTTTGTGATCTCAAAGGGACTAATGCGCATGGTGTGCTTGAACCTTTAAACACAGAAAATCTAATATTGCTCATTTCTCTCCCAACGGGACTGAAAATCTTCTGTTTGGTCACACGGGCAGTACTGGATGTGTCTATAACTTTATTTTTAACTGGTTTGAATCGCTGAGGTTTGCTACCCTGCAAAATGCCGCAGTAGCAGTATTTGTTCTGCCATGTAAATGATAACATAGAAATTTCCTAGATACACAAAAGTAAAAGCTGATCGCAGTCGCAGTAACTTCTTGGAGACGAGAAAAAAAATTTTTAGTCAAAGGGACGGTGAGAGATAGACAAGAGGAGAGCACAAGCACATGTGGCTCCGGCTTTCACGATTTGAGGGTGGGGGAGTGGGTAGAACTCTAATTATTCTTACTTGTGCATATGAAAATCACCAGCTTTAGTTGTCCACTCAAATCTATTGCTTCTCTGGTCAAAGACACATCAATCTCTGCCCTGAATTATAGAATGGTAAAATACTCAAACATATAATGTACTGTGACATTTTATAATAGATTTTAAATATAAAATCTATTTTGTAATGCAAATTGTATTACAAAATAAACCTTATATTTATAACTAAAAGAATTATAAATTGTTTATATATATTTCTTCGTGTATCTGGTAAAAAAATTGGGAAAAAGATTATTGAAACACCCACATCAGTCACCGTTTCTCTGCCTACGCTGATGTCAGTGAGTGATGGTAAGGATTATTGAAATGAACTAATTTTGGTTTGAAATTGGTGAATAGTGAATCTCTGGGCTGGGGTAGCTAGCTCCTTGTCCTAGCTAGCGATTGGACCTAATAACAAAACCAGAGCAGAAAGCAGAGAAACAGTATGATGGAAGTTGGTGAGCCTTTGGATTGGCGATTTGATGGTGAAGATTGAGTTTGAGTGGCGTGGGGGCCTACAGGAAATGAGGGCGGTAGAAGAGTGGCAATTCCTTTTTCTGAAAGGAATAATCCTGGTTGCTAGTTACTAATAGTGGCAAAACAAAGCTCTTGGAAGTCTAGTTTTAGTTAGGAGGAAAGGTTCAGTCAGGAGGAAAGTTCAAACAGAGAGAGTGCTACTATTTGTTTGGAACAGATGGACCATAGACATGGGTTTTAAGTTGGCGCTTGGGAGATTCACATACAATGCTCGAGGAAGAGAATTAATGCTTCAAAGCCTTTGAATTTTAGAAAGTGTTTCCATAAATTCTTCGGAGTCTCTCTCTGTCCCTTAGTCATGAGATGGAGAAGAAGAAAGAAAAATGTAAGGCTTTATCCACACGTAAGGAACACACATTAATAGATGTTAAAGGCTGACTTTTGAAAACGAAACTTTGACAATAAAAATCGTTTTGTTTGTCCTTAAGATTGAATATCAGCTTTTGCTGTCACGAGATCTCAGTCATCCGTTTTTCCCGTCACATAAACCTCTAACCCCGGCATGCCCTGCTCCAGCCGCATGCTCCAGGATATGATATGTCACTGATTATAAAGTTCATTGCTGATTTCTGGTGTTTGACTGATGCCAGTCCTTTTCATTTTCCTTGTTATTGTGTATAAAATCATGTGATTAGTATCGTAAAATTTAATGAAGTAGGGGTATGATAATTGATAAAAAGCATGACCTCTACCTATGTGGAAGTATGTTTTGAAATTTCCTCTTGATTGTTATATTTGACAATATCAAGTATGTTATGTGATGGCGGCCTTGAATTGAGTAGGATACATACACACACATATATATTTGTGCGTGTTATATTTTATATCATACGTGGTTTGTCATCACGAAGGTCCCAAAAATTTGCTTACATTCTGAAGGCCCTCGATGAGATTCTTTCTTTATAGTTTATATCCTGTAATGGGTTAGCTCCGGGCACACGAGAATTCTCAGTGTCTTTTTAACTGGAGAGAACTCATGGTCTGGCTCTCAGCTCTTTAGGCTTTGGTCTACTACAACTCATTACTAGAGAGTTCAGAGTAGTTCAATCACATAGATGAACCAAGTTGTACGTCTATTCGCCCATAAATTCAATCAAAGATTTCAATTAGGAAATATGACAGGTGTTGTATTGATCGTGTGGGTTAAAATATTAAAATAAATCACAACTTAGCAACCATGTATGTTATAAATCTCTTCGCTAGCTCATAAATCACAGTTTGCTTGCTTGACTTGTGAGTTATTAAGCCAATATAAATTTATACTAGCTCACATTTTAATTATAAGACTTCGTTTGTAAACTATAAATAAAGTCTTATAATTAAAATCGAAGTTAATATAATTTGTGACGTTATGCTAAATGATTTTTAATTCAGTTGATGAACATTTTTTTATTAATAAATACCTAATCAGTAAAACATATGACACTTCAAACATGATGCTATGTGTTTTGATGAAAAAGAAAAGTAAAATGCCAGTTGCTTCATATTTTTGAGCTCTAGGGTGTCGGTTGTTCTTTTTGGCAAAAATGATTTATAACTCAAACTTATTAATTTGAAATTAACAATTAACGTCAATATCAGTTAGTCTAAGACTAAAGGTGACAGTGCAACGATTCTGATAATTGAGGAGTGAAGCCACTTCAACAAATAGTTGGAGATAATCAAAGCTTCATAAAAAAATTATTTATATCATTATTTGGTATAAATTTTGTAACCACACAGTTTAATACTACATGAATAACATCAAGGACAGCTGAGTAAACATGTGAAAGCCACCAGAACAATAGTATGTGAAAGTTTTAGTAACATACGCACCAACAAAAACATCATATAAATACGCCGCTCATTTGTGTGTGGAGAATGGATCGACTTTACAATTGTCTCTTGAAAATTTTTCACTTGAGTTACTCACTCCATTATGACAGTTCTAGAAGCTCAAATGAAAAATGCCCGGATTTATTGCCCTTTGCCACCTTCAATTATCCATCTTGTACTATTACTTCTCACTTGACAAGCTATATTCTCCTGCAGTTGTGGGAAACATTTGCATGTGCCTTGCAGACTTTCTTTTTTTTTTAACTAACTTTTCCCCCCTCCTCCATCTTGTAACTATCTGCTTATTTTTATCTGTGAATTAGATGCCAAATGATACAGTCCATCAGAACTAAAAAATTATTTATAAAGAAGATTGCGTAGTATTCACCCTCACATCTTTTTTTTGTTTCTTCTTTAGTTGTCTAATCATATGATTGCAGAAAATTTAATGCTGCGGCATCTTTTGCAGAGCTTCACTTTGGGG